AACCCCAACCACTAAAACCCTAAACCCTCAACCCAGAGAAGCAGGCCTCCAGGGCGAAGAGTTTCAGATCCACGGACAGTGACAGGCTAAACTGGCCTTTTGGCTAGCTGGGAATGAGGGAATGGAAAAGAAAATGGATACTAGAATAATGGGTTATATAGGGTTTAATTAGGGTTCTATAGGGATGTCGTAGGGATGATAGTAAAGAAAATGGCTAGCCCTGAGTCCCACATCCTAAAACCTTAAAATCTCAGCTAGCAAGCACAACCAGGAGACGATCGAGGCGTTGGCGGGCAAGTTGGTTCTAAATGCAGCCAGCTTCGCAGCAGCGCACTCAGTTTCGGCTTGAGGGTTTGGGGGTTTACAGCGTTTGTGTTTGATCGAGTTTATGGTGTTTATAGGGTTTGATTAGGTTTTCGGGTTCAGCATTTGGGGTTTGGGGGTCCAAAGCATACATACTTGTCATGCTTTGCCTTGAAAACCTTACGAAGCATTGCATGCCGGACCAGAGGGTTTAGTGGTCGTGGAAATAGGGGGTAGGGTTTGGGAGTCAGAATTGAGCACGACTGGCCCAGGGAAAAAGGGTTTTGGGCATTAGTCCCGTTTCAAAAGCACGGCAATCTCCAGAAGCATTTTCCCTACACTCTAAACCCTGAAGTTCCATCTCAGTGACTTCAGAAGCCCTTTGCAAGCATCACAGGCTTGAGCACCACCCAAAAAACTGTCATCCTGCACCCTACAGGCTCTAAACAGTAGTTTCCACGTTCTTTTCCAGTATTCCTATATTACCCATATACAACCCCATCCCCAAATGCAGGTAGACTTCGATACTTTCAGAAATCAGCGAGGTCCAAGGAGATCCTGGACCGTGTATTCGCCCGATGAATAGCTTGTCCAACTTGAAAAGAAAGGACCCTAAACCCCAAACCCTAAACCCTAAATCCCTAAACCCAAAACCCGAAACCCTAAACCCTAAATCCCTTACCCAACCGGAAAGTTTCACTGAGGTGCCGTTTAGAGAAGGCTCACCACCTCTACGCGCGGCCGGGGCAGTTGGCCCCAGCTGTTTTGGGGTTTCTGTGGTTAGTCTTTAGGCTTAGGCTTAACGGGGTTTAGGTTTTGGTTTGGAGCCCTGGGTGGAAATTTCTGAAAATACAGGATCCATGTTGGCCTACTTTGCGGGATATACTGGGAAACCTCTGCAAGGGATGGAATCGTTGGGGTAGGTTCAGGGCTTAGGCTTGAGGCGTCAGGGTGAGTGCAGCCTAGGGTTACGGTATAGGGCTTAGTGCCTTAGTGTCTGTTGGTTGTCTTAAGGTTTCATGAATTCCCTAAACCCTATGCCCCTAAACCCCTAAACCGTTTGGGGCCCGGGGTCAGCTTAGTTAGGCTTCCTTTATGTTTTTCTTGCTTTCAATAAGTGGAACCAAGATGGATAAACTTGGTAAATTGGTAGCATGCTCTCCACTGGGCAGCTACATAGACAATAAACCTTTACACCCAAAAACCCTCTTCCGTAAACTCGGGTCCCGCCAAGAGCAACAAGCTTTTGCATGCTTTTGGGGTCCATGTATAGGTAACATGAGTGTTCCGGAATATTCCTGCCTGGGATTTGCAGTGGCAGGTCTGACACTGCGGCTTCTGAGTCTAAGCATTTCTTGCCAGTGCTTAAGGGGAGCGGGGGTGCGGATTACGAAGCTGACTCTTGTCGAGTCAAATCACGGAAGATGCCGATAAGTTGTAGTCATATTCCCTTCCACGCTCCCCCTGAAGCCACAGTAAGATAAGGGTTTGAGAGTTTGGGGCTTGGACAGTATCAGGTTCCGTGCATCGTGGCATTCGTGCAAGATATGTCAGCAGGGCTACTGGGTTGCTGTCAAGGAATAGCAGCTGAGTTCCCGAAACATGGAGATACCATAGCTAGTATGGTCTCCGATGCATTAAGACACTGGCTTGTGAATTGTTACCCCCAACCCCAGCAGAACAAAATACAACAAACAAAAAGCTAATTTTATAGGGGTTGGGATAACCAAAGCCCCCCCCCCATAAATTAATGGCAATGGAGCTTGAGGGTTCCTTCACAGCAACCCAGGGTAGCATGGCAAGAATGACCAGGCCTGGCTTTCAATTTGTATAGGGTTTAGGATTGAGGGTTGGATGCTATAGGGAACCATTGTGGGGCTTATTAGGGGCAAAACCAGGAATTGAGACGACAGCTCATGTCAGGGGCTGTCTTAAAGTGGACAGAAGTACTATGAATTAGGCGAGGCCCCCGTCCAGAGATCGTGGTACAACAGGCGCAAAAATATACGCGCATGTGTACAGTGACCTTGGGTGGGGGCTTAAACTAAACGTATTTTGGATCTTGCACCACCTTATACCGGCTATACCCGAGCAAAGACAGTATATTGGGGATCTTATGTAGTGCAAGATTTCCTCCACCCACCACGCCATATGGATCTTGCACTATTAGGGGTCTTTCGCTTACAGATCAACTTGGCCTCCTGATAGTTCGGTGTAGCTATTGGTTTAGGGTTTAGGGCTTAGGGCTTAGGGATCCCTAGCCATAACCCTAAACCCTGAACCCTAAACCCAAATTGAGCAACAGTAATTACATGCACCTGATTTCTCTTGCACCAGTACACTAGCATCTCTGCTCGCATGACGCCAGAAGCGGAATACAACGAAACGCGATGAAATCATTCATGAGTCACCTAAACCCTAACCCGTAAACCTTAAACCTTTAAACCCTAAGCCCTTACCCAGGGAAACCCCAAAGCTCCCATTTTCTTCAAGTCGGCTTCGAGCCGCTACTATGCAGATAGCACTAGTATCCTCAGTCAAGGAAAACCTCAGACCCACATTGCTGACTGGTCGTTGGTAGGGAATCAGGGAATAGATGGGATTAGAATCCCTTATTCCCAGATAGCTAAGGGAATAGATTATACGGGATTCTATTGGGATTATATTCCCTCATTCTTAACAAACAACCAGTAAGATTTTCCTAAACCCCTAATGTATGTAAAATAATGGCCCTAAGCCCTTAAAAACAGCCAAAAAGGCCATAATTCTACATACTTTAGGGGTCCAGGTTAAGCTCCGTCAGAGGAAGCTGGGTGTTGGTTAGTCAACTTCCAGAAGCTCCGCGCCGAGCTTCGGTTTGCATGGGCAGGGTGCCCAAAGCGGATCCTGCTTATCTAGGGGTTATCTAGGGATTGTATAGGGATTATATAGGGATTGTATAGTGGTTAT